ACAGTTGAGGAGAAGATTGAAGAGATACTTGATGGTATAGAAGATGAGCCAATTGCTGTGCGAAATAATCCACAAGTTCAAAAGGAAGTAGAGAAACCTGTGAGAAGGTATGTACCCCCTTTGCCTTTTCCTCAAAATCGTGAAACAACAAAAGAAAGTAGGTGGAAAAAGTTTTTGGAGATTGTTGAGAGTTTGAAAGTTTCAGTTCCCTTACTTGATTTGCTTTCACAAGTTCCCTCTTATGGAAAATTTTTGAAAGAGATTCTAGCTAAGAAAAAGAAATATGGGGAACGAGAGATGGTAGCTGTGGCTCAAGAGTATCAAGCGTTGACCCCGGGAATTGGGAGGAATATACCTAAGCATAGAGACCCGGGGAAGTTCACAATTCCTTGTGTGATTGGAGGCCGACCTTTAAAGGGATCCCTTTGTGATTTAGGAGCTAGTGTGAGTGTTATGCCTCTTACTCTTTGTCAAGGGTTAGGGTTGGGAGAACCAAAACCAATCCAATTCACCTTAGAAATGGCGGATAGATCCATCGTAAAGCCTATTGGAATTCTTGAAGATGTCCCAGTCCGTGTGGACAAGTATTTTGTGCCTTGTGATTTTATTGTGATAGATGTCCGAAGGAACCTAGATGTTCCACTCATTTTGGGGAGGCCCTTCCTAGCCACTATTTGAGCAATGATTGATGCAAGGAAAGGGTCCATGATTTTTGACTTTGGGGAGAAAAAGGTGGAATTTAATGTTCTTGATGAGCCAAAAATCATTGAGTGCAAGTCAATCTTGCACATCGACCCTACTCTCAAGGTGACCCATGATGAGTATTTGCATTTGAAGAGTCTATGGGGTGATGTGATCAAACTCGCGGATCAACCAGGATGAGCACTCCATAACCAGGTTAGGTCGAGCTAGCGACGTTAAACTTAGCGCTTCATGGGAGGCACCCCATGTTATCTTTTATTTCTTTCATATTTATTGCTTTCTAGTTTAATTTTATTGCTTTCTAGATTCATTTTATTTAGTTTTATTGCTTTCTAGTTCGTGATTATTTTATTGCTTCTTAGTTTTCTCTTTTCTCTTGTTCTCCTTTTCTTTTATTTTGCATCAGGGATGATGCAAAGTTTTAAGTGTGAGGGGGAGGAATCATTAATTTGGGGATATTTCTAAAATTTTAAAATTTTTGCTTTTGCTTGGATGACTCATATGCTATTTTTGGTGAATAAGCTACTTGTTTTAGCATGCAGTTACAATTATTCTCTCTTGTTGGTTTGTGGTTTGTTTTAGTGGTGCTTGCTGCATCTCAATTTGTGATGGATGATTTGAGGTGTAACACATATTTGATCTATTCCCTTGCCAATAGCTTTGTTAACCACTTAATAATTGGATTAATTCTTGATCTTGTGTTTTGCATTGCTAGTGAAGGCTTATGTGAGATTCCGGTCATGCGTGTTTTGCTAGAACTTGCCTCATTACTCCCTTAAGTGATGTCTAAGTTTTGCATGTTTTGAAGTGATTTAGGCCATTTTTGTTTATCCATAGCCTTTAAACCTGTCCCTATATATATTTTATCCTTCGTATCCCCATTGTGCCTTTTGTTTGTTCAAATAAGTGCTAAGCACTTATCCCCTCTTTGTGATTGTTTTTCTTTGATTTACCCCATTATTATAACCCTTAGCCCGTGGCCAAATATTTCCCCTTCACCCTTGAGAGAATGAAACTTTTATCTTTATCTTTTCTGTAAGAAGAGTTTTTATGGAGTTGTGCTACGAAAGAAAAAAAAAAAAGCAGCCAGTGTTACAAATGCTCAAGTGTGGAGGTCATGAAAGTTTGGATTAAAATTATCTTGCTATATCCAAAAGAAGTCCAAAGAAATGAATGAAAAAAAAAAAAGATTGAAAGTTTTTGAGTTTGGATTCCCACTTTACCAAAGAGATGCTAAGTTCTTAAAAGAAATTTGCTCCTTGGAATTATGATTATCTCATCTCTTCCAAATTTTGAAAAGTTTAGATAAATTGTGACATTCTCTCTTTTTGATTAATTTTTCCATACCACTTCTTTGTTAGCCATCACCCGTAGCCCCATTACAAGCTAAATAAAGTCCTATTTGATCTTAGCATGCATTCTTAGATTTGATCTAGGGGAGTATGAAAGGCAAGCCTATGGGATCTCATTCATGAACCGTGTCTTGCATAATCTCAACTGAGTATTTGTGCACACTTGATCCTCACATGCTTTCAATTCTTGGAGCTTGGTTATTGGCTTGGAAATGGGTCTCTTATGTGCCAAACTAATTTGATTCTTGAAGCTTGTTGTTTTGTAGCAAGTTAGTTGGTGGTTTGAAAGGTTGTGCAAGAGAGAGCATGAGTAATTTGTATGTTTTGACTTGTGATTTTATTCCTTAGTTTTGCTTGAGGACAAGCAAAAGCTTAAGTGTGAGGGGGTGATGTTAGCACATTTGTTCTTGTTTTTATGGTTATTTTGAATCATCACAGTAATTAAGCTCTTTCATTTTGCTTATTTAATACATGTTTTCCTTGCTATTATCATTTAATTATGGTTCGCACTTGTTTTGAATGTTTTACGGTGTTTGTTAGCGTTTTTGAACCATTGTAGGTCAATTCTATGAGCAAGGGAAGTTCAAGGATGAGTTTGGAGCAATTTTGGACAAGTTCGGGACCCAGAGGACTCGACGCGTCGAAAATTTCCAGAAAGGTTTATGATCGAGACCAGCAGATCTCGACGCGTAGAGAATTGGCTCGACGCGTCGGGCGCAGCAGGTCTCGACGCGTGGAGAATTGGCTCGACGCGTCGGGCGCAGCACGAAGTCGCGAGATATTTGAGTCCAATTTTGTACCAGATTCCTATTTCGTCTCAACTTTATACCTACTATAAAATCCCTCCTTCCTCAACCCTAAAAAACACACCCGAGAGATTTTTAGAGTTCTTTGTAGATAAGAAAGAGAGAAATCAAGAGGCTCAAGTCGTCTTTGGAAGCAAGGAGGAAGCCAGGGAGATTTGGGAGAATCGCTTGGTTAATTCTTGTACTCTTCTGATGATTTGTAATCCTTTATTCATATTTGCTATGTATAATTTAGCTATGCTCGGCTAAATTCCTTAGGGAATTTTGGGTGAATTTGTCTATGAACCTATGCGCCTAGTTCGTTAATTTCTTAATATATTTATGTTTGGTTTTATGATTTGTGTTGCAATCTTGTTTTAATCTGTTGTTGTTGGTGGTTAAAGGCCTAAATTACTAGCTTCACAGTCATGTTTATGTCACCAATGGGAGGTGGGGCATAAATTAGGGCACACACGATTGCACCTAATGGTTGGTCCTTGGGAAAGGGGAACTTATTAGGGGGAGTTTATTCTAGATTATTGCTCATCGGGAGATGGTAGTAATTAGGAATAATTGAATGCTGATCTTTGATCTTATTGGGTGTTTAAGCCATGGGAGTGGAAATTCACTAGGAATAGAGATTACGGGAGTAATTCGATTCCACCTTGCATTCCCATACAAATCTTAATTCCAAACCAAATATTACAAACGTTAATTGGCACTAGGTGATTAAATATTGTGATCCCAAGAATCCTATTTTGCTCTATTGTCTACAAAACCTTGCTACTTATTTTATTCTGCTTGTTATTTTATGCAATCAATCAACCTTCAAGTTTTGTTCGGACTAGTTTCATATGAGTAACCTAGTAGCTAGTGATTAGTACACCACCTCTCTGTGGTTCGACAACCCGAATACTCCGGGTATTATTTGTTTGCCCCAAATTACAGCAATCATAAATATATACATTTATATAATACGCTATATTTATTAAATAAATATAAATATTATATAATGTGCAAAGGGTATTTTTGGTATTTGTGATATAAAAGCTATTCCCAAGGGCATGGGAATAGCTAATACCAAGACCCCCCCTAGGAATGGCTATTCCCCATGCGAAGGTAATAGCTCATTCCTAGGCATGCTATTGCCATGGCAAAATGATTCAACCAAACGATAGAATATGTCTATTCCAAGGAATGTTATTCCATTCCTAACCTATTCCATGAACCAAACATGCCATAAGTGTTTGGTTCGCACATGAGAATCAGAATTGGAATGGGTATCAAATACTTGATAATGGTAATGGGTTTTGGTGAAAGTATTTTGCATGTTTGGTTGTAGGGTGGAATGTGAATGATTAGGCTAAGGGTGAATAATGGAATGAAATCTTTATAAAATAAGAAAATGAATTTTTCCATTAATATGGTATTGCAAACTCACAGTAGTGTTTTAAAACCAGTCAACTGAACAATAACAATTACTTTCATACTCATACTTGAGTGTTTAACCTGTCAACGAAACACACGCTAAAAAGTAGTCTTTGGTACGAATAAAAAGAAAAATCATTCCACCAACAGATTGATTTGACTTTGCTCATAATTGATCAGTCCCCAACAACGGCAGCAATCATGCTGTGCTGTACAATAATTCACTCCACGCACGAACGGTTCTCGCGTAACCCCACGCGCTTTGCCGTCTTAGAAAATGTACAAAATATTCCACAGCATTTGTCCTTTTATTATTATTTTTTTTTTCTTCACTTCACGTGAGAGGTTGCTTCGTTGCTATTCTGCTCGCTATTTTCTACTCCAAGTTTCATTTTCATGGAAAGTTGAAGAAAAGAGCAACCCGGCCTTGATTCTCTGATTCCGATTTCTTAATCTTAAGAAAAGAGCAAAAGGGAATTTGAATCCTTGTTCTTTTCTTGCCGATCAATCCAAACTCTCTCTCTAGTAAAGGTCAGATTTCAAGTCTAATTACTGATTTCTATTAATTATCTTCCACATTCATTTATCGTTGATTATTTTATCACCGTGGGCTGTGTTTTGGATCATCCCTGCTGTTGATAATCTGGGATTTTCTTAGTAGTAACTTCTCTAATCCTTGAATTCGGCGGTGGGTTTCTTTTCCTGGGAATTTTCAGACAAATTTCTAAATTCAGAAACAAGATAAAGATGAGAGCTTTAGATTTGATTAGCTGTTGTTTTAAGAGGAAATAAAGAGGAAATGGATAGAAAGTTATCTTTTTTTTAGCAAATATATCCGTATTCAGTCGAATAATCTGGGATTTGGTTTTGTAATTTGAATTTCAAGAAAGACCTGAGCATTTTGGTAGTATAGTCATTTTATTCATTACTGTGGCTTGGAGAGTTTGTGTTTGTGTTGGAATTGATACAAATTTGTGTTGTTTGCAGATTAATTGGTTTGCACAGTTCAATGCGCACTCCTGGTAATTTAGTTTGTAATGCAATCTACAGATGCTAATAGCAAGAAGAGTTTGAAACGTTCAAGATCATCTTCTTGTGAAATGCCACTTACTGATACTAACATTGCTAAGCCTCTAGAGGATTGCCTCCTGTTTCCTGTTGAGGAGATAGTGCAGTACCCATTGCCTGGTTATGGAGCGCCTACTTCGATTAGTTTCAGTCCTGATGATAGCCTAGTGACGTTTTTGTTTAGTCCCAATCAAACTTTGAATAGGAAGGTTTATGTATTTGATCTCAAGAACGGTAAGCAGGAATTACTATTCAGCCCTCCTGATGGTGGTCTTGATGAGAATAATCTATCAGCGGAAGAGAAATTGAGAAGGGAGAGGTCACGGGAGCGTGGGTTGGGTGTAACCCGATATGAATGGGTGAAGACAAGCTCAATAAGGAAGACCGTTATGGTGCCATTACCTGCTGGGGTTTGTTCACATCCCTTCTCTTTGATAATAGTTTTCAGCATTGGTTTAAGATAAACTTTGATAATTAATATCTGATGTTCTAAACTTACATTTACTTAGTGCTAGTTGCAAATACATTTCTATATGCAATCCAACTTGAACTTTTAGTGTGCTTGTAGGTTTGAATGGTGATTATATATATTTCGTGATTATCAGTTCTGTTGATGATTGCTTTATATGTGAACAGATATACTTCCAGGATCTTCATGGAGAACCAGAACTTAAGATACCAAGTGCCTCGTCCTCGCCAATTATAGATCCACATATTTCACCAGATGGAACCAAGCTTGCATACGTGAAAGACAATGAGCTCAATGTGTTGGACCTCATCCACAATAAGTCGAAGCAATTAACATCCGGTGCCAATGGAAACATCATTGTAAGGGCTAATTTACATTGTTGAATCAGATTTTATCTCCCTTTTATCTAATTCTACCTGTACCTTACATTCAAGAAACTTTAAAAGAGCTTCACTAGTAGTTCTTGTTCAGGTATTGTAAGTAGAATTGTTAGTCATGTTTCACTGTATTTCTTTTAGACTGCTGTGATGGTTAAGATTTCTATTGCTTCCCTTTCTAGAGTTTTTGAGTATGGTACTAAAATTGTGTTTTTCTTTCCTTCTTCAGGTACATGCTCTTGCTGAGTATATAGCCCAGGTGAGATTAAAATTTCATTTCCAATTACTTTTAGGTCAGATGCTTCTAAAGAGTGTAAAATGTGTACACTATGTCCTTTACGTGATACCATACATCTCCAGTTATTATGGAATTTTAGTTCTATGTGCTGTGAACTGTACATCCCGTGATTTTTTTTTTTTAATTTTTTTTTCAATTATTAGAAAGGTGGAACAAAATACTTGTTACAAAGAACAGAATTTTGCTTATTCAACTTTTATATCGATTTCCGGAATATCCCGGGTTCGATTCCCACAAGCGACGATTCCCCCTGGGCCAACTCCCATGGCCTCCCGGAGCGAACGGGGATTAGTCTGGTGGACCTGGACCGTTAAACGGTCAGAGAAAGACCCGGACTACCTCGTGGTAGACTTCTATATCGATTTCCCTTACTAATTTTTACATCTTCAAAATCTGATTATTTTTCCACACTCTTTTGTTTTTGTTTTTTAATTCTTCTTACTTTGGCACAAAGAGTTGCCTTGATCTCTTTACTACATTAATATTTTTCAGTGTTAAAAAAAGAAGTTCATTTCCAATTGCTAGCTGAATGATATTCTGGTTGCTTCTTTATATGCTGGATTGAACATATCCCGTTTTCTGCTTGATGTAGGAAGAAATGGACCGGAAGAATGGATACTGGTGGTCACTGGACAGCAAATTTGTAGCATTTACAAAGGTCGATTCATCTGATATACCTCTTTTCAGAATCATGCACCAAGGTAAAAGTTCCACGGGTCCAGAGGCACAGGAGGACCATGCTTACCCATTTGCTGGTGGGTCAAATGTAAAAGTTCACCTTGGGGTAGTGTCTTCCAATGGAGGTCCTGTAACTTGGATGGACCTTCTGTGTGGTACAAATGCTGCTGAGGAATATTTGGCGAGAGTGAATTGGATGCATGGAAATATTCTTACTGCTCAGGTTTTGAATCGATCACATTCCAAACTAAAAATCCTCAAGTTTGACATTAAAACGGGTCAAAGAAAAGTACTTTTGGTTGAAGAAAATGACACCTGGATCAACCTGCATGATTGCTTCACACCTTTGGACAAGGGACTGAATAGATCTCCCGGGGAATTCATCTGGGCAAGTGAGAAAACTGGGTTCAGACATTTGTATCTGCATGATTCTAACGGAACATGCTTGGGCCCTTTAACCGAAGGTGATTGGATGGTTGAACAAGTTGTAGGTGTAAATGAAGCCGCTGGCCTTGTATATTTTACGGGTACTTTAGATAGTCCTTTGGAATCTCACCTTTACTGTGCTAAATTGTTCCCTGACATGAACAGCCCCTTACAGGCACCATTAAGATTGACACAGGGAAAGGGAAAACACGTGGTTGTGCTCGATCACCAGATGCAGAGATTTGTAGATATTCACGATTCCTCGGTTGCACCTCCTAAAATTTCGTTATTCTCTTTGCATGACGGGAACTTCATAATGCATTTGTATGATCAACCGATCATCATTCCAAGATTCAAAATGCTCCAGCTTGAACCTCCAGAGATAATTAAGGTACAGGCAAAGGATGGGACTACTTTGTACGGGGCACTATATAAACCAGACGAAGCAAGGTTTGGACCTCCGCCATATAAAACCATGGTTCAAGTATATGGTGGCCCTAGTGTACAACTCGTGGGTGATTCATGGACAAACACAGTTGATATGAGAGCTCAATTTCTAAGAAGCAAAGGCATCTTAGTTTGGAAGGTTAGTGTTTCCCTGGTTCTGTTCTTATGTGATCAACTGGTATCTGGTCTAACCAACTTGGTTGGCGTGAGTGGCCGTACACTCTTGTCCCTTAAGAGAGGTCGGGAGTTCGAATCCCCTCTCGTATGGAAAAACCAATCTGGCCAGCACTTTGCCCCTTAATTGGGCCGGCCCGGTGCGAGTATGGTGCGGGCTTAAAGGTGCCTCCTATAGTTAGGGCTTACTCAGGACACCTCATGGCCTGACCAAAAAACTGGTATCTGGTCTTACAAGCTTGTAGTATGAACTAGTTACTCTTTCCTGCATAGTTTCCCTACAAGCTTGGAAGTTTGTTATTTTTGCAACTTTGTTAATACTGCAGCTAGTTCTTTTGGGCTGCTCTGTGCATCTGAGAACACAGTCCATGGACTGCTTAAACACTGAACTGAGTTTGTGTTGGGCGGAGGCCGTAAGGGCCGAGTCCAGCACCATGTGGCTAGGGGGATTGTTGGGTAGCCAGCACCCTGGTTCTCGAAAATGTGTGGCGGTATAAGGAAATAAAGTTGTGCCTTCGCTACTAGCTATAGCTTTTGGCGTAATGGTAAACGCTTGATCCTAACAAGTGGTACCAAAGCCAAGTCACGGGTTCAAGTCGCTGCTGCTGGGAGGGGTATTGTTGGGCGGAGGCCGGTAAGGGCCAAGTCCAGCATCATGTGGCTAGGGAATTGTTAGGCGGTCAACACCCTGGCTCTTGAAAATGTGTGGTGGTATAAGAAAATAAAGTTGCGCTTTCGCTACTAGCTATAGCTTTTGGCGTAGTGGTAAACACTTGATCCTAACAAGTGGTACCAAAGCCAAGTTGCCCTTGCTGGGAGGGGGATTGTTGGGCGGAGGCCGGTAAGGGCCAAGTCCAGCACCGTGTGGCTCTATAGCTTTTGGTGTAGTGGTAAGCGCTTGATCCTAACAGTTCGCCATGCGATTAAACATGTCTCTAATCACTTTGAAGGAGTAATTCAGTTCTAGCAACGAAAAACATGAAAGAAGGGAAGAAATTCTTACCCTGGTTGTTTTCGTGGTTACAGATGGATAACAGAGGCACTGCTCGACGAGGACTCAAGTTCGAAGGTGCACTGAAGAACAACTGTGGCGGTGTTGATACCGAGGATCAAGCAACAGGAGCCGAGTGGCTTGTGAAGCATGGGATTGCCAAAGAAGGTCACATTGGACTGTACGGATGGAGCTATGGCGGATATCTATCGGCTATGACACTGGCAAGGTTCCCTGAAGTATTCCGATGTGCGGTTTCGGGTGCCCCAGTGACTTCATGGGATGGATACGACACATTCTACACCGAAAAGTATATGGGTCTTCCTTGCGAGAACCAGTCGGGGTATACCGAGAGCTCCGTGATGCACCATGTGAGCAAGATAAAAGGTAAGCTTTTACTGGTGCACGGCATGATCGATGAAAACGTGCACTTTAGGCACACCGCAAGACTGATCAATGCGCTCGTGGCTACCGGGAAGGTTTACGAGTTGCTCATTTTTCCCGATGAGCGGCACATGCCCCGGCGACATAGGGACCGTATCTACATGGAAGAGAGAATCTGGGATTTCATTGAAAGGAACTTGTGAATGAGTTTTTGAATTCCTTTAAGATAATGTGTAATGTGTTGTTTGACAGGGAACATTTTGGTGATTCTCTCCTCTTCTCATTTCATGCTAGTGACAAGAAGAGACTTCATGTGATTGAGACAATCATTAATACTATCCTATCCTAGGAGTGTATTTAAATGACAATAAGTACTTGTGCATCATTATTAAGTAGATTGAGCTTTTATTTTTCATTCTTAGATTATAGTGACGTTCTTAAAATTAGTCATTTTATTTAACGTCGTTCCATATTAATTTATTATTTTTTTCTATTAAAAAAAAGGAAAAAGAAAATGGTCAAGTAGGCAATTGAATTTTACATGATAAAGTAATTAGACTCCTGAACTTTTTAAGGATACAATAAATCATCAAATTCATTAAAATCTGTCAAATAATCTAATTTATCGGTAACCAACTCTTCACCGTTGGTCACCATAATTACTGTTGACCGCTTTCTAAGTGCGTTGACAGTTGATTGGATTGGTCGCCTTTTTCGGAGAAGCGATCAAAATTGGTCGCCATTTTCAAAAAAGGCGACAAAAATTGGTTGCCTTCTTCGGAGAGGTGTCAAAAGTGGAGATGGTGATCAAAAATGGTCATCTTCAAAAAAGGGAAGGCGACTAGAACAGAGAAGGCAACTAGGTTGGAGAGGTGACTAGAAATGGTCGCCTTCTGTAGGAGAAAGCGACCAACTTTTTTTTGATCGCCTTCTTCGGAGAAGGTAACCGAAAGCGATTTGAAATGGTTACTTCTTCTAAGGTAGATTTACGATCGTCAAAAAGTCATCGAAATTAATCGAATTTTTGTCAAAATGATAATGACGGGCTATGACATATCTATAACCGATTGGCATGTTTCTATGCATGAAAATAACATTTTGAAATGTTTAATTGTATATTTTAAAAATTTAGAAATCTAATTAGTATATTGTATAAAGTTTAAGGGTTTATTTAATATTTTCCCCAAAAAAAAAAAAAAAAAAAAAAAAAAAAACTTAGATGTCATCATGTCAAATCTTATGTTCTGTATTTGGTCAAAGTAGTTTAATGTTTTTGTCTTGTTTTGACCCACATACATAAAAGACGGATACTATCAGTCAATTATTTATAAAATTTCCGCAATAGTCACAAATTAGTGAATGCATTTATTCTCTTCACACCTACCGATGGCCTACTCTAATTAATGATAATAATGTAGATTTCTGAAAATATTCAAAATAACATTTTTCATTTTAATAAATCTTTGCTTTACATACTCATACAAAATACATTGAGTTGAAGGAAAATAATACAAATTAAAAAAAAATGTAACAAAATCACAATATCCTTGCACGTACTTATGTCAATTCAGAAATTTGAACTCACTATATTATTACCTATGGTAATCCAAATACTGGCCTCATAAATGAAATTGCATTAGAATTATATTATTTACTGCCCCATAGTAAATGAAGAAACAAGCTACCCACAATTCTGTTCTCCCAAAATGTTGAATCTCGGACCTTAAGGCCCCCACCTTTCGGCCCGACAGAAAATATGAGAGGAAATAAATCACGATAACTCAGTAACTCAGAGCTACCCCGACAATTATATTCCTCCATAGAAATTATGGATTTTGAGAAAATTAAAATTGGATCCACCACCTATATATATAGCAAGTGTATGTATACGTGTATGTATATATAGCTTAGTCGTGGTAATTAAGTGCTAAGACCAGCCAAGAAAGCCACTCCAGTAGAAGGCAACCACGAGGATCCAAAAATGAACTGCGCCACCGTGAACTTGCTAGCCTCGACCGGCAACGTGATGACCCGGTATCCCGGCCAGCTGACGCGGCGCGCCAAGGCGGCCCCGGGGCCGGAGTTCATGTACTCGCCGTAGTACAGCGTGTCGAGGGCGAAGGTGGCGTTCCACTCCAACCACCCCCGGGGGTGAACGTGGTCGCCGATGTACGACATCATGACGACCGTCCGGGAGTAGAGCTTCCAGGGGCGGCCGAGGTAGGTGGAGAAGTTGGCCTTGGAGGAGTCGAGGTCAGAGGTGGCGAGGATGCGGGAGGCGTGGATGGAGATGCCGGTGTTTTGGTTCGGGTCCTTGCGGTTCTGGGCGGTGATGGTGTTCTTCTGCCCCGGCAGGGGCTTCCGGGCGAAGATGGTGCAGTTCTGGAGGACGACGGCGGCGTTGCCGAAGATGAAGTCGACGGTGCCGTAGATGTCGCACTCGCGGTAGAACTGGCGTTGGGAGTGGACGTACAGGGTGTCTTGGTAGCCGATGATCTGGCAGTGGTAGATCACGGCGTGATCGGCGCCGATCCGAAGCGCCACCGCCTGGTGCTTCGCTGCTCCGGCCCAGTTTTCAAACGTTATGTCCTTTGCAATGAAACCCGCTCCCGTCGCAGCTGTAAGTGGACACCATACCAAAATCTTACTCCAACAATTCACAATATAATATAATATATTGACTAGAAAAATTAAAGACACAACCATTATCCTAAGGTATGCAATGAACATAATGTTTCAATAGGTGTTAAGACTCCTCGTTCCAAAAGTTAAATCCCCAACTCACCAGGCCTCCCACATCCGAGCCCGTATTTGGAAGGATGTAGGTTACAGTTACTCAACACGACAAAAGCCAGTGCACACAAGCAATTTTGAAAAAATCGCTAGGCACCCTTTAGGCGCCTGGGGAGCCCCTATGGCGCCTAGGAGGCTGACCGCCTAGTGCTTAGGCACGATTTTTGTAACACTGCGCACAAGAGATCTGTCCATTTTAAACATAATGTTCACTCTCCCAAATTTTGAACATTGATCTCTTGAACCAGTAAGTTAACTTGGTGCGGCCCCATTCATTACTCGTGTCCTAGGGACATTGACTAAATTGGGCGGAAATGGACTGACTTTTTATAAAAGTTATTGGACAAAAGATGCATTTCAAGGGAAAATATTGTCTACACATCCAACATTTTCCTAATTATAATGTGATGTATAGTATAGGCAATCACCCACCCACCTCCAATAATAATGTCTCTGCCAACAAATTGGTAAGCCAGTTAAGTGTTCCAATATACATAGCTGTCCTCATTTTCTTATGTAACATTCAATGAGTAACACAAATGTTCTAATGAAAAATCTATAATACTATATACTTGACAACAGTACACTATGTCGGTCGATCAGATGTTATTTCAAAATTAAAAAAAAAAAAAAAAAAAATCTCTTAGCTTATAATTGAATTCACTAGAAAAAAAAAAAATTCAAATTTAGCGATCACATGCAAAGTTGATGCGTATAATATCCATAAACATTATGAATAGGGCCAATATATATAGTTGGATAGTTAAGTATAATTATCAACTATCAAATCATAGGGTGACAGGCCACGTGAGTGCACTATACTTTAACATGATATGGATTCATGCATGCACGGGTAGGGGTTTAGAGCCCATTATTTTCCAGCACAAATAATTAATGGGTAGAAATTTAATTTCAACCACATTAGAAAATAAATAAAAAGCAGAAAAAGTCCAAAAAATAATAATAATTTTCTTTTTAATTTACCGAAAGAGGCTGTGTGGAACGTCGTCATGTTATCGGCAACGCTGCTTCCTCCCGCAATTACCGTTTTGCCCTTCCCGTCTCCGATAAGCATCACATTTGTTTTCTTCCTCCCTATTTTCAGATTTTTCTCTACGTACCTGCGTAAATAAATAAATAAATAAATAAATAAATAGTTAACCCCCAAATATATTTAGGTCCTGTTTGATAACATTTTTAATTTATCAGTCAATTTTGATTTTTTGATCACTATTAATTGTTTGATTTGCTTAAACAACTCATATAAATAAGTGTTTGATTGATTAATTTTTTGTTACAATTTATTGTTTCAAAAAGTCAAAATTCTAAAAGTTATTCAAAAGAATTTTTTCAATCAACTTTTTGAAAAAGTCATTTTGCATATAATCAATTATCAGCTAACAGCTAATTTACCAAACATTTTTCTAAACACAACTAATGCTATCAACTAATTAACTTAATCAACTAACAACTATTTACCAAATACCCCTTAATCTCATTTCTAGTTTTCTACCGACAGATCTGGTTCCCATTTTACAAACACCTCCCCAAATTTCTTTGATTTCCCAGTTTTACCCTTCCGTAGTTAATACTTATTAGTGACGTGTAAATTACTCTACATTATTGTACCGTTTCGAAACAACTTTAAAAAAGAGTTAATACCTAAAATGGTCCATCGACTATGCCATAATTACCAATTTGGTCCTCAACTACCATTCTTACCCAATTAAGTCCTCAACTATTTAACTTTTACTCAATTAAGTCCTCAACTATACAATTCTTACCCAATTTAGTCCTCAACTATACAATTCTTACCCAATTTAGTCCTTTGTATTAATTTGACTGTTTGTTGACTGTCAAAAGTCGGGATAAAATTATAATTTTACAAGATTTCTCCTTCCTCTCCATTTAGCAGCGCCAAACCATGCAGCAATACACTCCGATCAGATTTCGATCGTCAAAAAATCGTTGAAAATCAAATTCATGGGCTATCCGATGCACAACCACTACTTCGATACTGACAGGTTTAGAACCCAACCGGAGCTTATTGCTACATGGTTTAGCGCTGCTAAATGCGGAGGAAGGAGAAAACTTGTAAAATTACAACTTTATTTCCACTTTTGACAGTCAACAAACAGTCAAATTGACAAAGGACTAAATTGGGTAAAAATTGTATAGTTGAGGACTTAATTGGGTAAAAATGATAGTCGAGGACCAAATTGGTAATTACGACATAGTCGAGGGACTATTTTGGGTATTAACTCTTTAAAAAATGGTTCACGTGAGGAATAGTCAGATTTCAACCAATGGCATTATGGTAATTTATCCAATACCGAGAAATGACAGGAAAGTTACGATATAGTATATAAAAAAAAAAATTTCTACAAATAATAAGAATTTTTTATGCATTCATGCTGTCTTTTAAAAAAAAAATTTTGGTATCTTTTTACAAAAAGAAATTAAACGAGAAATAAAATTATACTTGAATTATTTTCTGTGTAGGTAAGTTCATTTATAATATAAAATATAAATTGTACTAAAAAATAATTATTTTCTTTATGGCCGGTGAGAAACCGTGACATATGATTCCATAAAGACTCTCATAAATAATAATTTAGGCTTCTTGGA